TTTAATAATGTTGCTAAATAATAATCGGGTAATCTAAATAATAATATTATCACCAAGAATGAAAAATACTATTATTATTTAGATTACCCAAATAATTATTTGAGCTATTAGAAGAACCATCAAGTTTAGAAAATAAATGACGCAAAGGTAACTCATTAACATGTAGAAGACAGCCAATTAAATGAATTCTTCTTTTCAATATTCTTTCAAGACAAGCAACTAAACCATTATCTTTACCTAAAATGATATAGTAATATGAAAATATATAACTCAAATAAAGATTTATGTATTATCTTTTTTTATTTTTCAGACAGGCATTTTTGAAGAAAAAATATACCTGTGTTAACACTTGTATTGTCCAAAATTATTGCCTGGATACTTTTATCACTCTTGAACTCCTTGAGAACATTACATGTAAATTCAGCAAGATCTTTTCCTTTACCTTTTTCTTTAGGTACATCTATGTGCTTTAGATATTGACCTTGCAACTCGCCTTATTCAAATACTAAAAAAAAACATTTTTATTAGTAAAAAATTAAATTGAAAAAAAAATAAAAATACAGAGACAAAAGAGATAACATTGGCCTTTACCTGATTCAATTGTGAATGTCAAGTGGTCTACAGTGCTGGTAGATTTACAAAAATTTATTTCACCGTCAATATCTCTCTGTTCATAAACCAATGAGTTTTTATTACGATTGCTATCCAAACCAATTGCCTTTATATTTGAAACTTTAGATTGCTCAAAACTAGCATTAAAGCATACTCGTTCTTTCTCTCTCTTCATTTTACTTGGATCAATTACATCATTTAGATGTAGATAACCAATATCTTGAAGTAGAGCATTAGCTACAGCGGCAGCTGCTTCATCTGATATTCCATATCTAATAACCTCTAAAGCAAATTTGGGATAGTGGGTAGTGTTATAGTTCTTTGATCTAGTCTGATTTAATGATGAAATTGAAGTTTCACTCTGTAATTATAGAATAAAATACAACAAAACTTCCAGAAATTAAAAATCATAACAATGAAAATTTTACATTTAATTGTATTAACATTTAAGATGCTCTTATTAACTTTAGAGCATTATATTTAAAAGAATTAAGAAATTTAAGAATATATATAGTTTTGATCATACAATCAAAGTTTACAGGTCACAATTTATTACCTGATCTGAATCCATGATTGTGTCAAACTCTTTAATATAAATTTCTTCATCAGAAGCTTTTGTTTGCTTTGTTTTTCTTGAGGTAGGTGATAAAACAGAGTTATCAATACCTCCTATTTGAAACTTTCCTTTAGTACCAATTTTCTCCCTTTGGTCTTTTATATAGGAGCACTCTTCCAAAGGAACCTAAATAATTATTTCTGTTTTTAAATATTATTTTCAATTAATTTGTTTAAAACGTATTATTATCTAAAAATATAAAAAATAATAAAATATAAAAAAGTTTATCAATAAAATTAAATAATTTATTTAAAATTTAATTTAAAATAAAATACTTTAAATTTGTATAACTTACATTTTTACTACCAACACAACTACAGTAAAGATGTACATTTGAACAACCTGAGCATTTGATATTCCTGTCATCACAAGGAAGAACTTCAAGCTTGCAATTACATGCTAGCAGATCAAAAAGTTTTTCTTTATTTTTTTCCAACAATTTTTTGGTCAAAGGTTTAATTTTATTTCCATTCCAAGAAATAACATTATTATAAAATCTTAAAAGTTTAACAATCAAACTTTTTTCAGGTAACAAAACTAATTTGGAATTGCAATTGAACCATATTTCTTTTAAACTACAAAGCGTTCTTTGAATAATAATATTTTTGTCTTTAATACCATCTAAATCTTTTAATTTGTAGAAAAATCTTGCTACATCACCATAAGTTGCTAGATCTGTAATAGGAAGATCAGAAGGGCTACCACCATATAAATTACACCGTCTAATTCTTTTTACAGACGGCATATTTTTATTATTGTAACAAATTAAGTTTGATAATATAGTTAATATATATTAAAGATTTTATAACTCCTTAAAAATAACAGTAAAACGCTTTTTGCAAGGTTCAATCTACAATTTGATACTTTACTTTTTGGTTTGTTTACATTTTTTAAGGCCAGATGTCATAATAAACAGGGTGTCAACTCAAAACAAACTTCAAAAAATGTATAAAACTATTTTTAAAAAACACAGTTGAATAACAGAAAAATGCATTTTTTATAATCATTGAATCAATTATGCACAAAAAATATATATTTTAGTTTTTTCAGTATGCCTTTCAAAACAGTCCTTTCTAGTTCTTTCAGTTTATCTAGCAGAGTGAACACCCCGATATATCCAATAAAAATGGCGACTTATAAAAAATCTTTTAAGTTGGAATTTCAATGCTTATTTTTAAAATAAGATAGCTTCTACTCAACTTTAAAAGTTACTTTTTTCGCTAAAATTCCTATTTTTTTTATTTTAAGGTAATTCCTCTAGCTTGAAGTGATAAATTTCCAGAAATTGCTGGTGTCTAATATATATATATATATATATATATATATAATATATATATATATATATATATATATATATATATATATATATATATATATATATATATATATATATATATATATATATATATGCACATAGATACTTTTTGGAAAGAAGAGAAGCTGATCTTTATTTTTTTTAAACTTTTATGCATAGTTACTAAACTATTTAACGGATTATTTTGCTCCTGAATATTTGGTTGATGTTTTCACATAAATTTGTAGTCGAAGGCATGAAGTTTCCGCTTTTTTGATTGTTCAGCCACCTTTATACATGTATTTTCTATTTATGTGCCAAATTTCAACAAAAAATATTAGGGAGCAGATATGTAACGAGGTGCTTTTTTAAATATACTGCTTTTTTGAAGTAGAGTTAGACAAACGTTTTTAGTGGTGTTTTTTTTTTTAGAAACATATATAAACAAAAAATATATTTGGAAAGAAGAAAGGTTAGGCTTGATTTTTATAGTACTTTTATTTAGAACCACTAAACTTTTTTATGGTTAGTTTTGCTAAAAACTTTCATGAAAATTTCGTTGATGTTCTCACATTAAGTTCTTATCGAAGGAATGAAGTTTCTGCTTTTTTTGTTATTCAGACACTTTTTTGCATGCATTTTCTTTGTACATGCCAAATTTCAGCCAAAAATATTAGGGAGCAGATAGTATAAGAAGTGTAGGACTTTTGGTACCTAAATTCGTTTTTTTTTTGTTTTTGTTTTATCGGTAAGAGAAATATGGGGAGGATAGGGGGGTGGCGAATGGTAAACAAAAAAATTCTTACTACATTGTATTATTTAATTTTTAATATTACATTATTTTAATAAATAAAAAATGGCAAAAGTCATAACAAAGAAGACTTCAAAAAGTAAGTTAATTTGTTTTTCATGATAATAATGCCTTTTTTAAAAAACAAAACAATAATGATAAGTTTAAAAGCCTTAACCTTTGTTTACATCATGATGATGTAAACAAAGTTTGTTTACATCATCATGATGTAAACAAACTTATCATTATTGTTTTGTTTTTTAAAAAGTTATAAGTTTTAAAACATTAATCTTTGTTCACATATCATCATGATATGTAAACAAAGATTAAGGTTTTTAAACTTATAGTATAAGTTTAAAAACCTTAATCTTTGGTATAAGTTATACCAATAATAGTATATATTAAAAAAGATTAGGATTTAAGATTAAACCGTTACTTTGGAATATTTTATTAACTAATAGTATCAGATGCCAATGTTGTTAATACACCATATATATAAAAATATACAAATGACATTATTATACTTTAAAGTAAAACTTTATTGGCTTAAGCCAATACAGTTTTTGACAAAATATTGTAAGAATAATATTATTATTGATAATTTTAGAATAACATTATTATTTTTTAAAATAATATTATGATTTTATTGATTTTTTAAGAATAATATTATTATTGATACTTTAAAATATTATTATTGATATTTTTATATGAATAAGCTTATTATTAATAAGCTTATTTTTGTAAAATTATAAAGATACTTTTACAATAATATGTTTATTCTTATAAAAGTATCTTGTTAGTGTTTTTCTAATATACAGTAATATAATTTTAAAATACAGTAATATAATTTATGATTTTTATTATTTTTTTTATTGCTTTTTTTTTTGGTTACAAAGGTTGTTGTACGTAAAGCAGAACTGATTTGATAACTGTTATTTTTATTGACTGTTGACAATTTCAAGATGTTTTTTTTTTTTTGATTATATAACTTTTTTGTTATCTTTAGGCCAATTTGCACAGACAACAGCTGGTAAGTTATTATAGCATAACTTTAATTAACCATTAAAGAAATATAAATAAATATGTATTTTTTACTTATTTATTTATTACTTGTCGTGTATGGATTTCCCATTTGCTGCAATATTAATTTTTTAATTTTAGTATCTACCTCATGTACTACACCTGGTAAGTTACATAACTCTTAATTTTTAATTTGCAAACTTTACAATATGTTTAACTTTAGTTCCTTAGTCAGCTGCTGCAACTAGTAATTTAAAAAAATAATAAATTTAATATGTGTATGCATTTCTCGTTATTTGCAATATTGATTTTTTGTTACAACTTTGTAATTTTAGTATCTACCTCTTGTGCTACACCAGGTAAGGCTTACCTTCACATGGTGTCTATTGTTAAAAATGATTTATTTAGTTGCATTGGAACTTAATTTAAATCATTTACTAAAAGCCAAGACATAAATTAATTACTATGTTTCGAAACATTTGTTGCTTTTTTGTTTGTTTTTTATAAGGTTGGTTGGTTAAATATAATCATTTAAATGAGAAAATGTATACTCGTACAACTGAATACATGTAAACTCGAGAAAATGAATACTCGTGCAATCTGGTAAAACAATTCTGTATTGTGCTTTCTCTTTTTAATAATTGCATGCGAAAATGTTGAAAATATCATTTCTATGTGTTTTCTTTTTTACGTTGGTTGAGGGGAAGGGGGAAAATCATCCCTCTCCTCAAATTGTACATCACTAATGTATGTTTTATAGTAAAAAAAATATATTTTTACTTTTTAACAAAATATTTAATTACTGTAATAAAGATTAAATTATTTATTAGAATGCATGATTATTGTATTAGGGTGTTATAACATCATAACCACATCTACGACCAACTCTAAAATCACTTTATTTTGTTTGGCAGTGTTCTGGAATCAAGTTATGGCAATATTTTATGTATAAAATCTAACAATTACATTAAAAAAGTGCTTATTTTTGACAAAAACTTGTATTTTCTTAAGGGTTAGACGGTGTTTCATTACCCCCTCTGGCTCCCAAGATACACCCACCTATATGAATTTGTAGCCCATTAGTGCACCTATCTTTTGATACCAAGATATAGGTATTTGAATAAAAATTGACAAAGTTATAACAATTTAAGTGAAAAAAATAATTATTTTGACCACAGTTTCTTCAACAATTCCATATATCTTAAATTTGGTACTAAAAACGTTATAACTTTTTTTAGAATTGTTCGTTTTTAATAATTTTTTCACCTTTAAAATACTGTATTAAAGGCCTTTCTAATGATAGGTACGTAGAAATACGCCTTCTACGGTACCGAGTTTTATACCAAAAAACTGTTCTCCTTTTTTTCGACTTTGGCGTTGACATGCATGATAGAATGGTGTTTTGTAGCCTTATTTTTTAGAATTTCATATTAACATAATTATTTTTTATAATCTAGAGTAATTAAACTTTATTTCTATGTGTCTTTTGATTACAACGACAAACTTTTCAAGTAATTTATTTACATCCAAAACTTGGTAATACTTTAGACGTTTAGTAAACCTTGAAAAAATGCTCAGTAAATTTTTCTACCTATTCTAATTTTTAAGTTTACATACTTTTTAAGCACCTGCCAAATTTCATTGCTTTATTTTGATTAGCACATTCCTTATTTTTACTAGCACTTTTGGTACCTAATATATATTTTTTAACAGTTCAACGCCGGGCAAATGAGGGGGATTTTATTAACAAGATTTAGCAATATAGTCTGATATAAATATAGCTAACTGTTCAATTTAATATGATTTAGATTTAATTTACTTAAATTATAATGAGTTATCCATTCGTTGTTGATGAAAGAGTAGAGCCTAAAGGTTTTATATATATTTACAAACTATTTTTTTTATAATATAAAAAAATTATTCTTTTTACTTAATTATATCAAACTTAACTATAAAAAATTAATTATAAAAAATTTATCTTTTAGATAATAAAGCACTTTGTAAAACTAGTCAGTGTATTATATCAGGAATTATTTGTCATTTTGTATTTTTAAAAAAAGGTTTTAAGTTAGTTGATTTGAAGATTTACATAATGTAACTCATTCTTAAGAGTTTAGGATGTCTGTTTTAATTTATGACATATCTGATGTAATCATGCCTGTGATGTAATCACAATTTTAACTTGTGATTAAATTACTTTAAATGTTTAACTTGAAGTTAAAAGGTGTTGTTATGATAATTTAAAAAATATAAATAAAAAGGCCAAAACCTAAGTGCCTTTATGTGCCATTATGTAGAACTTCATCTTTATCTAACCAAAAAAGAAGTTAACGTAATTCTGTGCTATATAGAAAGTGTTTAGAGTTCAAATTTTGAACCCGACTATTGTGCATATACCAAAAGTATTCAGTATTTAAACATTTTATTGTACTTTCACTTACCTCATTTTTATATTTTTTTTATATTTATGTAGTTATCCTATTGCTCATTAGTTGTGCAATTAAATAACTTTATAATTTTTAAAGGTATCATCCCTCCCAAGACAAAAATTGATGCTTATTGGCAATTTAAAAAAATAAATAATCGCTAACTTTACATTGGCTACCAAAATGAGCATTGATTGTAGAAATGGACATATACTATTTATATTTATTAACAACGGAGAGTTATTTAATAAAACTGTTGCACAGGTTTATGAGCATTTTAGCATTAACACTTGCAAAAATCAACTCCAAAAACTTTTTAGTGTAGTAAAAAAACGGTCTTATAACTTTTCAAGAAATGCCACTAATGTAGCTGACTTTTGCAACAAGCCATTTGTGTTCCATGCCCTGGTGCTGACAGTCTCACAGTCATTGCCACCTACCTCTAGTCCAATTGATACTGTTTCTTGTTCTTCAATTACATCATCAGAAAATATCAGTTTTATTTCTCCAGTAAGTAGTGCAAAGCTAACTCCCACAAGCAATAGCAAAAATAAACAAAATCTGCATATTTTACAAGAAAAAATGACTCTCACAAAAAAAAAGTTACAGAGTTGGTTATTTTATTTGACATCACTATTAGCTAACTCTTCTAAAGAACAACGTTATAAGATAGCATTATTGAAATCTGAATTGAACAACATGCCCTACAAAATAAAAGTTTAAAGACGATTAAAGTTTAAGCATTTAAAGTAAAAAAGAAATTTTAAAAGCTTCGAGAGCTGGAGTTAGAAACTTGAAACAAAAAATTTAAATCATGTTACTGCAATAGGTATATTCACAATCTTGTTATGAAAAAAAGGAAATGAAAATTGAAGTTAGAGAACAGCTAAGACAAGTAATGCTCAAACATAATACTGTTAGTAGAGAAAATAAAATTGAAATTGCTAGATTAGAAAATGATATGACCTAAATGGAGGAAGTTGATTGTATTGCTTCAGTTACGTCAGGAGATAATAAAGCTTACTAAATACAATCTAGAATGATAATCTATAGCATTTTATTGTGTAATGTTCCAACAGGTAACATTCCAATCCTATTGGAAAAAACTGCACAATATTTTATGTTGGTTTGTTGCATATTCCCAAGCGATTACTGTTGAGCAAATGGCTAGTGAGCTTGGTTGCATTGGGCCATCTGCATTACAAATCTTACTCTTGGGTTTGACGGCACCACGCAGGAAGGTGTTTATATTAATAGTGTCCGCTTAACGTCAAAAAATAAATGTCAAGTCATTGCTTTGGACCAATTGCCTGGAGGAATGTCTGATGATTATGAAAAACATATAGGTAATGCAGCGGATAATATGGCTTCAATTTATTCCAATTTTCAACAATACTGTATTTTGTAACACAACTGCTATAAAACTGTGTATTATTGGTTTAATTGGAAAACTTCTCAGTGGGCCATGGATGACTAATTTTGATTTGATAGTGATAAATTAAGATAGTGAAGGGTTGATGAGTATGTTTAGTGAAGCTAAAAGGAGATCCCTTATGCAGCTATTTGTTATATATCTTGCAAATTGCAATTTAAAAAAATATGACTGGATTATCTTAATAGTCTTGACCAAATAGAGAAAGAAAATCTAGTTAAGTGGTCTATTAAAGCAGCTCGTATAAAAAGAATAGCAAATTGACAGAATTATACTGCATTATGAGCAGAGATTTCAAAAAGTCAGACATACAAAAGGCAAAAAATGGGTGAAAAAGAAAAAAGGAAAATGGAGCAAGAGCTGAGCTATCTTTTAATGAAATAAAGAATTTATATGAGCACTTGTCTACTAAGCAACTTGATGACTTATATGATTTAATGTATGAAAGAAATGTTGAAAGAGAACTCTGCCATGAATGGTTTGATACAGATAATAGCAAGTCTGTCATTTATGATGGGAAAGTAGAAAAAAGTCAATAAAAGAAAAGAAGACAGAATTTATACTATTTCCTTCTGGAAAAAAGATGAAATTGTTGACCATTACATGTAAAAATTCCAACTTGCTGCTGATATTGTATCAGGAGGGTTGATATTTTCTTAATTTAATATGCTTTAATGTTACTCAATATTATTGTGCTTTAATGTTACTGTCTAATAGAAAAAGAAGTATTGCATGTGGTGTGACTTGCAAAAAGGTATTGAAAACACAGATACTTTGTTGCATTTAATGTGGTTAGATATTTTTTAAAATTGTTTTTGTTGTTTTAAATAGCATTTTTTTTTTTTTTTTTTTTTTTTCATAATTGCAATTTTTTCCTTTTGCTTTGAAACTTTTTTATGTTTTTTTGGATTACAAGGGGAAGAAGGGGGGAGGGGTAGAACCCATTCATTGATTTGACATGTAGGCCACTAGTGTATGTTATAAAGTAGCAAAATATAATTTTTATTTCAATACTAGGTAATTTTGTTGATGCAAAACAGATACAACAAGTGGTGACTTGCAATTAAAGTACCGCATATGGTGTGGCTTGCAAAAATATACCGCAAGTGCAAAATAGTAATGGCAAATGGTGTGACTTGCCAAAAGGAAACCGCAAATGGTGTGACTTGCATAGAAAATACCGCACGTGGTGTGACTTGCAAATATGGTAATGCAAGTGGTGTGACTTACAAAATAGGTACCACAAGTTGTGTTACATACAGAAAAGGTACTGCAAATGGTATGAATTGCAATTTTTTTGATAGAAGGCTCTGGTATACATTCTTGTCGTGTCTATTATTAAAAATGAATGTTATTTAGTTTCATTGTGAAAGTTAAACTTTTAATCATTCACTAAAAGCCAAGACGTAAGTTAGTATTTGTTGTAATTCAAAGTATTTTTATTTTTAAATCTTTGTTTTAAGTGGGAGGGGGGGGGTATTTGAACGCTGATATAAAGAAAGAATGGCAACATCTTATAATGTGGTAAAATGAGGCATCTTGTAATGTGGTAAAATATGTTTTTATAATAATTTTTACTATCTTATACAATAGAATTTAAATTTTTTTAAATCGCATTACAAAAATTTAGTTCTTATTTTAGGTTAGAGGGCGTTGTGGCACACACCCCTTCCCTTGATTCTAAATGTGCACTATTAGTGTGAAGACGAGAAGTTTTTGTAATTATTTAAAAAAAAAATTTTGTATTTATTATTTTAATTACTTTTTTTAAATAAAGATAAAAATATTTATTGAAATTTTTTTTAGTTAT